CTTACTGCACTATTGCTATTTCCACGGAAATTACTCAGAAGAACTCCATTCCTTGGTTCCACTATATTTGCCCCTCATTTTGTAGCAACCCACCCACATTTCCTCTGTATTCCACCGGTGAGGAAGTAAGTTCTACTCGAACAGCTTCTTTTCGCGAACCGTTGCTTTGTGGAACCGACTCCCAAGAGGATGCTTCCCCGATCACTATAATATTAACATGCTCAAGACTAGGGTTAACCGTTACATTCTCCACCTATTTGCATTAACTATGTCTCTTACTCAGTAACCCTCTATCTCGAGTGGCTCCCGGGCCTTGTAAAAGGGGAACTTCACTGTAAAAAAGAAAAGAAGAATAAAGTGACGTGAGATCGATTCTTATTAACCTCCCAGTTTTTGTGGCCTTGTGCCAGTAGCAAGCTGTATCACTGCAATCTTAACTTGTTCAAATCTAGAATTAACCATTATCTTCCCCTCCTCTCCGTATAAACTGTCCCTTAATGTAAACCTCTACCTCGAGTGGCTCCCGAGTGAAACTTATTGTAAAGAAATAAAATTAGCAATAGTTGTGTGCAACATGGACAAAGTAATTATTTTCTGGAAAATCACGAAAATAGAAATTCAGTTTTGAGTTTGATTTTACTGTTGAGAGAAAAAAATAGCGTGGAACAAAAACAGCGTCAGAAACGAGGAAGATGATTGACAAAGGTGTTTGGAGATGATTCGGTTGGAAGCAGTATGTATGCTGAACGGCTAGCAAATTTCTAGAAAATTGAATTTGACTTGCGGTATAAATAACGTAAAGATTGACTACAAGAATTTTGAAATGATGACGCGCAAACTGTTCTGGATGGCAATACACCCAACACCCCACCAATTTAGTCGACGGTGAACCGAGTTAAAAATGTCGATTGTATACCAATTTGAAAGACGTTTGCAAAATACGAGAAAGATCTAAGACCCTCCCCACCTAAAAAAATCCGGGAAAAATGCGTCCGACATGAATTGTCAGAGCGGAATAATAATAATAATAATAATAATAATAATAATAAGGAGATAGGACCTGTTACAATTCTATGGGACTACACAATACACACTGACAGAACAATCAAGGCCAACCGCCCAGATATTGTTATTAAAGACCACAAACAAAAACTATGCCTCCTTATTGATATGGCAGTCCCTGCTGACTGCAATGTATCTTTGAAGATATTCAAAAAGTTGTCAAAGTACAAGGACCTTGAAATAGAAATCTCGAAAATGTGGCATATGGGAACATCAACAATTCCTGTTGTAGTTGGAGCCCTAGGACTGGTTGGAAAAGATTGCAGTAGACTAATTGAAGGGATTCCTGGAAGTCCATGCCTCAAGGAGATACAAAAAATTGTTCTGACAAGTACAGCCCACACTTTACGAAGGGCTTTATCTATGTAATTTAATTCTTTTTTTTTTTTTTTTTTTGTCAGTGGAAAGTGTCATGACGCCATTTCTAACCTTAGGTCCCTGGGCGGGACCCGGAAAGAAATGTGTAAACGCTAGGAATCAAAGAAAATAAAAATAATAATAATAATAATAATAATAATACTAATCTGGAATGTTTAATATTGGGACTGGTTTGAAAAGAACCGATTTTTTTGAAAGTAGGGGAGTTGCAGAAAATCTGGTTCATTTTCAATATAACAAAAAGCACCCTCCTCCGTGGCACTAAGTTAATATTGCCGTCATTATAAATGAAAACTTTTAAGTGAACACGTGAGGACAGTATATAATGGAGACCCCATTACCGTTAAATATGTAACTTGTTTAATAAACTACTAAATTTGTTAATGTAGCATTTCCAGTGCTCCTTTTCTACACATGGTTTGTTATTGGGATGTTTTCGATGAGCTGCTATATTTGTTTGAAGTTACTCCTTCTGCAATTGGTGCTTTATTATATCCTCGGTTAATCTGCAGGATAAGCATCAAAAGACCCCGGTATTGAGAATGTGCCATTAAAAATGACATTAAAACATTGCGCTCGATTACCGTTTAGAAGTTATGGACAACGTAAGTTCGACTTCTTTCTCATCGCGTACACAGAAAGTCCGCCATTACTGGCGAGGTTTACATACATTTGCGTAGAAGCCCCACTTGTCTTGATTACTTCACAATGCGCAAATTTTGAAATGAATACGTGAAAAAAAGTATAACTCGACAATTAAGATAAAATGAAATAAAACTTGCCTTTTTTCAACGATGTTATCTTTTTTTTATGTGTTGTGAAAGTGTCGTGAATTTAAAGCTTCATAAATTACATTTTAGGGTGAGATTCTGTTTCATTAGTTATAAGCAGATATATTAAGTACAACACAGAAAAAAATATAATTCATTTAAAATTTTATTTGAAAAAATGAGCGCATTTTAAAATAACATCCGCGAAAATCGCGCAGTAATCAAGACCAGTAAGAAACGAAAAGCTGTAAAAAGGCCGTTAACTAAGTAAGCTTCCGCTCATTACGACTAGAGGGAAACGCATGTAAACAACGCCAGTAATGGCGACCGGACAACGCGAAAGAGATCGAACTCACATTGACGATAAATCGATAACGGTAATCGAGCGCGATGTTTTAATGTCATTTTCGAAATAACCAAACAATTTCACACCAGAATGGTACGTTCTCAATAGTGGATGTTTTTTGGTGCTTATACTGCAAATTAACCGAATACCAGACTCTGTAAGTGCATTTATTGCGATATAAAAACGATCTGGAGTGACGATCACGTGTAGTATATTTCGAGAAGGGATAGTTATATCACCGTGTTTGTTGTGCCATAGAATGTGTACTAGGGCGGCTACCAAGTGTTGGTACATTTCCGGAAACAAATAACGAGAACTGCAGATGCGACAAGATGTATCTCTATCTATAAAAGGAAGGATGTGTGTGTGTGTGTGTGTGTGTAACGAATGCACGGACGCAATTTTCGACGGATTTGCACCAAATTTTACATGCACCTGCTCCAAGTTAGCGGGAAGGCCAAGACCAACGTTGCATTTCCCAACTCAATCGATAGTGGAAATAATCGATTTTTTCATGCTTCTACGGCAGTTTTCATGTAGTTTGCGGCCATTTTCTACTGGCCAGAGTGAGAGCCTATAGTAGGCTGCCACGAATAGACAGGAAGATTCTATTGGCCAGCGTGAGAGCCAACAGCTGACTGACACGAATGTTAACTAGCATACTAGAATGCAAAAAAATCGATAGCTGCATCCGTCACAAGTCGGAAAAATTTAAATCTGCATGGCACTTTACTCCAATTGGCTCATTCGCTAGCTTAAACTCAACGTTGATTCTGATTCCGCAGAACTGGGATAGGTGTGAAAAAGTATTTTTGTTAACATTCTTTTTTCATTCGGTTTTTCCAGTTACGAGTCCTTTTTTAAAGCTGATCGTTTTGTGGTGATTTTGTTTAGTTCTTTTTTCGTAACAGATTTAATGTTTAGTATAGAGCTTAGAAAAAAATTCGCAGTGTGAGATAGGCAAGAAGTAAGGCATGTAGCAACATCAGCACGGCAAAGGACACTTTTTTAAAGGCAAGGAAGGGCAAAAATATTTTAAGTCTAGTGATAGCGATTACTGTATGAGTCGTATGATTTTTGAATCAAGCACGGGCAACGCCGGGCCATGCTGCTAGTGTTCAATACACGAGGCAACAGAAATAGGGTACTACAGAAGGCTGATGAAAATACAACGAACTGAACAATGTAGGTAACGCCCAAGTTCTAAGGGTAATATAACTAAAAAACGAAGCCAGAAAGAGACAGTTGAAATTTCTAGGTCAAATAATTAGGAAAGTGGGCTTAGAGAATTTGACACTCACAGACGGTTTGGGCTGTAAAGCGCTGAAAATTTTGCTAAAGAATGGAGCTCGTCTGAACATATGCCATAGCAGTAGTGATAGAAAAAAAGAAAAGGCTTTGGATATTGCATTTCAGGGGAAAGGGTTTGCTCGTCTCGTCTGGAGGAAATGCTGAATGGGAAATCTAGCTATCAACCATAAACTCTCGACATCGCGGTCTTTTCCAATCGTCACGAGTCTCACCATGAATTATCCAAACTTTCCTGGAAATCTCTGACTGAGATAATTTCATATTTGCACAGCTGTAAAACAACAGCTGTATCGATATATATATATATATATATATATATATATATATATATATATATATATATATATATATATATATATATATATATATATGTATGCGTGTGTGATGCATATAAATAGATTACGTATATGAATAATTAGAAAAGGCGTCAGGGAGAAGAGGCTTTTGCGATTCGTATCCATCATAGATGAGAGGAAAGAGGACAAGGGGGAGGGGAGCTATCGCTGTAAATAATTATATATAGATAAAACGCGAAGATAACATTTCGTGCCATATGTGATTTTCTAATTTTAATTTTGCACCTTGATAGAGAGGGCAATTTTTCTTAAATTCATAAATATATGTTTTTTATTAACATACTAACACACACTCACATACACCCCAATATACATATATATATATATATATATATATATATAAATACATGAATTATTCATACAAAACTAATGCAAAGGTTAATGATTTAAATGGCAAGACATCCATCTTGCAAACGATTCAAATAGTACAAAAAACCTCTAAATCCGTTACATATATTTATATATATTTTTATACAAGCTTTCGTCTGTTCCTACAGACATCGTCATATAAATGTTGTTCTTGGTTTTTCTCTTAGTAATAAGAGGACATCGAAAATTATATATTGTATCCGAAATGCTATTAAAATGAGTTATTGGTTTTTACTAAGAGAAAAAACCAAGAACAACATCTATTATATACCTGACGATGTCTGTAGGAACAGACGAAAGCTTGTAGTAAAAATAACAACTATGGAGGTTTTTGTGTACTATTTGAATCGTTTGCAAGATGGATGTCTTGCCATTTAAATCAATTAGTTTTGTATGAATAATTCATGTATTTGTAAATTGATTGCACGTTTATTGTAATTTAAATATCTGATCCATGTGCGACTTTTGGTTAATAAGTGCGACATTACTGTAATTATTGAACAATATAGTTCATGCCACTTTGACAGTAAAAAATTTACCAGTAAAAACATTTGTTCATTACCATATTTGGTATAGACGCAGACATTTAAAAAAAAATTCAAAATCAAACTCAGCGTTGCTTTGGCGCGTTCAAAAACCAATAACTCATTTTTAATAGCATTTCGGATACAATACACATATATTTTCGATGTCCTTTATTACTAAGAGTTATTATATACCCTGACGATAGGAACAGACGAAAGCTTGTAGTAAAAATAACAACTAATACGGCAGAGATTTATATAAACAAGGATCAACCCATGATAAATTTAGAGGTTTTTTGTTTTGCAAGATGGATGTGTTTAAATCATTAAACTTTGCATTAATGAATAATTCATGTATTTGTAAATTGATTGCACGTTTATTGTAATTTAAATATCTGAATCCATGTTTTTGGTTAATAAGTGCGACATTACTGTAATTATTGAACAATATAGTTCATGCCACTTTGACAGTAAAAAAATTTACCAGTAAAAACATTTGTTCATTACCATATTTGGTATAGACGCAGACATTTAAAAAAATTCAAAATCAAACTCAGCGTTGCTTTGGCGCGTTCAAAAACCAATAACTCATTTTTTAATAGCATTTCCGGATACAATACACATATATTTTTTCGATGTCCTCTTATTACTAAGAGAAAAACCAAGAACAACATCTATTATATACCTGACGATGTCTGTAGGAACAGACGAAAGCTTGTAGTAAAAATAACAACTAATACGGCAGAAATTTATATAAACAAGGATCAACCCATGCATAACGGATTTAGAGGTTTTTTGTGTACTATTTGAATCGTTTGCAAGATGGATGTCTTGCCATTTAAATCATTAACCTTTTGCATTAGTTTTGTATGAATAATTCATGTATTTGTAAATTGATTGCACGTTTATTGTAATTTAATATATATATGTATATATATATATATATATATATATATATATATATATATATATATATATATATATATATATAGGGTGCGATTGATAAATTGTCTAATAACGCAATAATGAAAATAACAGTGACGTCTCATTTTAACAGTCATACTAGGTGCGCTGGATAAATTGTCGTCTAAATTATGCAAAATAAAAATGACACTGACGTCTTATTTTTAGATATACAGGGTGCGATGGATAAATTGTCGTCTAAATGATACGAAATGAAAATAACATTGAGGCCTTATTTTAAGATATACAGAGTGCGATGGATAAATTGTCGTCTAAGTGATGCAAAATGAAAGATGATACTGACGCCTCATTTTAACAGATATACCCGGTGAGATGGATAAATTGTCGTCTAAATGATGCAAAATGAAAATAACACTGACGTCACATTTTAAGTTATACAGAGTGCGATGGATAAATTGTCGTCTAAATGATGCAAAGATGAAAACGAGTTTTGTGGGTCTGAGACTCCATTGCGCCCCACACTTTAATAATCAGTCTAGGGAGTCAGGTGGTCCGATGTAAGGGGTGATGTGGTCGCAGAAATTGTCTGACAGTCACGACTGGCTTGTGTGGCATGGTACAGAGTCCTGTTGCCAGATATAGGGTCTTTCACCAGCCAGTCTTCCTACAGGCTGCTCTTACTATCAATACGTTCAAATATGGACCTTCTTTTTGGTGGTTTTATTGACGAAAGCAAAATATGATGCTGTTGTGTGATAATCTTTTTATAGTTAAGAATTTTTAAAAAATTAGCAAACATAATGTCTGTAATTTATTCAATAAAACATGCCAAAAATGTTTATACCTTCATCTTGGATATTGTTAATAGTGCTCAATGTAAATTTACAGAGCATAAATATTATAAATTAACTAATTTAATATATGTTTTTTCCGCTACACAGTAATAACCATGTTTCAAAAACTGTAGTTAAGACTTCAAATTTAATTATATAATTAAATTAAAAGCATTAGTTCTGTTTCATCTTCAAACGAATATTGGAATAATCGCTTGAAGATGAAGCGAATCTAATGGTTTTAATTTAATTATATAATTAAATTTGAAGTTTTTAGCTTCAGCTTTTGAAACATGGTTATTACTGTGTAGCGAAAAAACATATTTTTAATCAGTTAATTTATAATATATATATATATATATATATATATATATATATATATGTGTGTGTGTGTGTGTGTGTGTGTGTGTGTATACAACTACAAAACTGTACATCAGAATATGTAGTTTTGTAGTGGTTATGTTCATGTAAAATATAACAATGTATATATATATATATATATATATATATATATATATATATATATATATATATATATATATATTTATACGAAAATTATAACATAAATATGTTATAAAATCACTACAAAAATAGCCATTTTGTTTCAACACTTCTGGTGTTTTATCAAGTGATGGTATTGAATGTAGAATAAAGGGTTTTAAAAGGTTCAAATCCATCCAAACACCCCTCCTTAGTATTCATTTTAACTAATTAATATTAAATTTTACTATAAAATTAAATATTAAAAATTACCAATTTTAAATTTAATCTGTATTAAGTTTAAAAAATTATAAAATTATTGAAAGACGATTCTGAGGAAAGATATACACGTTATTTTTATAGATACAATTATTTAAGTAAATGCTCTGTTTATAATAAACATTATTGATTACATTTACCGGCCTGAATGCCCAAGACATATTGTTAATTTAAATCAGAGCACTTACTTAAATATTTTATCCATAAATATAACGTATAAATAGAAAATCTATAAAATTAAATTGTCGGACTTACTCCATTTTATAAGTCATATCTTATTAAATAATTCAGAAAATTTTGGCTACTTATTTTTAACTAAAAATTCTTGAAGCTATCTATAGTTACCTTAGTTACCTCCCTTGACGTTTGCACGCGTCCCTACATAATAAAATATCTTCACACGCAAATTAATTTTCAATAAACACAACAATTTTGTCTTAAGAAAATGATGAACACAATACTTTTTTTGTCTTAGAAAATGCAAGATTGATGATATTTATTATATATTAATCCTTCGACTAAATTGAAGCGAGAAGGGAATGATTTTAAAGTAAGAATTTTTGGAGACGACTGTGTCCAATTTTCAGACACACTTGTGTCCATTTTTCAATTAGAAAAGAAATAAACAAAAATGTTATTAAAGACAACAGACGTTTTTGTGTCGATTAATTTTATTGGTCGATTTTTTTCCAAATTACGAATAATCCTTCTCAGACAAGGAGGAAATTCCGCAGAAATCGTCCAAAGTTCATTTTGGTAGAACTGTGGTATAAGTCTTCCTAGGTTGTCTTTACTAACATTTTGCAGTATTGGATAATTTCTACTTAAAATGCACACACACCCACACAATATATATATATATATATATATATATATATATATATATATATATATATATATATATATATATATATGTGTGTGTGTGTGTGTGTGTGTGTGTGTGGGGTAGGGAAATTAATAAAATGATGGAATAAATTTATTAGTAACGTATTTCGTTACATGGATGTTGGCCATCAGACAATAGTTTTATTGATGGAATCAGTCATATATATATATATATATATATATAAAGATAGATATATGCTATCTTGGAGGAAATGTGGGTTTGTAAGCAGTTACTATTACGGCTAATAATGCAAGACACTTCGGTAAATCGAATCGAGTTCTCTCAGTCACTGTGTGTTTATCTAAAAATAAATACGCTTAAATTCACCTTTTTTCCTACTGTGCGCCAACGGCTTAGTGGTAGAATCCCCGACTTAATTAAAATAGCATTTCCAATGGACATACACACTTATATATATGTATGTATATATATATACTAGGCAAATGTTCCTTATTTACATTATTCGGACTATTGTCCTCATCTTTGTCGACATATTTATTACAACGTTTCGGCCATTGTACGCTCCGGCCTTCTTCAGATGTTTTGAATGTCGAACTGAACCTTTTATTTCGCTCACTGGGCAGATTGTTCTAGTTCCCGGTGACATGTTTAATGGATGTCAGTTTACCTCCTGTTAATTTCCCTATGAATGTTCTCCACTGCCTTAAGCGGGTATTGAACTCACACTCTTTGGGTCCCTGTCACTGGATCTAACCAACGCCTTTATCCACTGTGCCATGTGTCCTGGTAAATAAATCGTTGGTAAATAATGTTGTGACATAGGCAAGGCGTGATGTGTGTGTGTGTGTTTATTTAATTATTTGTTTAAATTTATATATTTTGAGCATGCAAGCTCTTAAATTATAATCTTTTTTATTTATAGATGTCTGTTTTTACTGTTTGATGTTACTAGTATTTTGATATTGTTTGTGAGTAGCTGTTTATTGTTACTATAATCCTTATGCCACTGACTAATGTGTTGTCTGATGGTACTATGCTCCGATAATAAGTAAACTATGTGAAAAAGAAGGAACAATTTTAAGAAGGTGAGCCCTAGTGAAGACGAAGAAGAAGAAGAAGAGGATGAGGAGAAGGAGGAAGACAAAGAAGAAGAGGAGGAGGAAGAAGAAGAGGAGGAGAAAGAGTAAGAAGAGGAAGAGAAAGAAGAGGAGGAGGAAGAAAAAGAAGAGGAGGAGGAAGAGAAAGAAGAGGAGGAGGAAGAGAAAGAAGAGGAGGAGGAAGAAAAAGAAGAGGAGGAGGAAGAGAAAGAAGAGGAGGAGGATGAAGAGGAGGAGTAGGGAGAAGAAGAAAAAGAAGAAGAAGAAGAAGAGGATGAGGAGAAGGAGGAAGACAAAGAAGAAGAGGAGGAAGAAGAAGAGGAGGAGGAGGAAGAAGAAGAGAAAGAGAAAGAGAAAGAGAAAGAAGAGGAGGAGGAGGAAGAGGAGGAGGAGGAGAAGAAGAAGAAGAAAAGATGAAGGGCATTAATATTAAGAAAAAGAAGTGTGACTGAAATTGAAAATAAGACGACGACGAGAATTGATGTAGAAGCCATAAAAAAGAATGTCTAATGTTAATAATAATAATAATAATAATAATAACAATAATAATAATAATAATAATAACGAGAAGAAGAAAAAGAGGAATAAGAAGAATGAGATAATGGAAAGAAGGTTACGGCGCGGTTGAAGGAGTTATCAAAAAAAAAAATAATAATACAAGATTAAGAAAAAAAAAGCCAGTGTAAGCAAAAATACAAATCAGTAGAAATAGAAAAGAAAAAGCTAAAAGAAAAATCTGAAAAGATTCAAAACGTGTACAAAAGAAAAAAAAAACAACTTATGAAAACACAAAACAAAACAACAGAATAGGAAAATGAAAGTGAAAGTGGAAGTAGAAATATGTCTCAGGTTGCCGGCTCTTAAATTATAATCTTTTTTACTTATAGATGTTTCTTTTTGTTGTATGAGTATTGGTACGAGCATCATAATTCTGTTTTTTTACTGCTTGATTTTACTAGTATTTTGATATTGTTTGTGAGTAGCTGCCTATCGTTACTATGATCCTTACACCGCTTATTAATGTATTGTCTGATGGCGCTATGGTTCGATATTAAGTAACGATGTGAAGAAGAAGTACAAGAAGAAAGAAAGAAAGAAAGAAAGAAAAGATGAAGGGGTAATAATATTTGATTTTACTAGTATTTTTGGTATTATGAGCAGTTTAATGTTACTATGATCCTTATACTGCTTATTAATATATTGTCTGATGGCCCGATGTTAAAAGTATAATAATAATAATATTAATAATATTAATAATAATAATAATAATAATAATAATAATAAAAAAAAAAAGAAGAAGAAGAAGAAAAAGAAGTAGTAGAAGAATGGGATAATGGAAAGAAGCATGAGGAGAGGTGGATGGAGTTGTCCCAAAAATGAATAAAAGATTAAGAAAAAAAGGCAGTGTAAGTAAAAAAAAATCTTTCTCTGAAAACAGCAATAGGAATCAGGAAAAATAGAAAAGAAAAAGTAAAAAGAAAAATATGCACAAAAGAAAAAAAACTTATGAAAACAAAAAACAAAACAAAAGAATAGGTAAATGAAAATGAAAATGAAAGTGAAAGTAGAAAAAATGGCGGTAAAATGAAAAAGTAAAGATGAAAGGACTACTGAATGAATAATACACTGATAGCATCATCCGTTTTGGTAAGGAATGGACTTCGTCTGGGGACTAATATGGCCGTAGCTTATTAGGCCTCCTTCATTCGTTCACTCATTGGAAAGAAATGCACAGAGTGGAAAAATAACGAGATAAACGTCCAGATGTAGGGAGAAAATGCACACAAACAAGAAATGAACACACACACACACACACACACACACACACACACACACACACACACACACACACACATATATATATATATATATATATATATATATATATATATATATATATATATATATATATATATATACACATCTATCTATCACAGTCTCATCATCTATCTATCTATCTATCTATCTATTTCGGTCTCATCTATCTATCTATCTATCTATCTATCTATCTATTTCAGTCTCATCATCATCTGTCTATCTATCTTCAGTCTCATCATCTATCTGTCTATTTCAGTCTCATCTATCTATCTATCTATCTATCTATCTATCTATCTATCTCTATCTCAGTCTCTTCATCATCTATCTATCTATTTCAGTCTCTATCTATTTCAGTCTCATCATCTATCTATCTATCTATCTATCTATCTATCTATCTATCTATCTATCTATCTATCTCAGTCTGTTCTTCTATATCTATCTATCTATCTATCTATCTATTTCTCTCATCATCTATTTCTATCTATCTATCTATCTATCTATCTATCTGTCCATATCTATCTATCTATCTATCTATCTATCTATCTAAGACTGTCCATATCTATCTATCGATCGATCTATAAGCCAGTTCATCTTTCTCGTTTTGGACGTGTTATTAAAAAAAATGTCTCGCACCCTGTGCCTTTTCCACAAATATTTTCATGGTTATTCTTCTGTTGTTCTTTACTGTTTGGTACCTCAAACTCACAAATTTAGATTGGCAGTTAGGTCTCACTATTTTACAGTTAATATAACCCTAAATTCTACAACATTTTATTTTTTGCTTTTTGCTTTCCAGTCAAATTTGATCTTTCAATTTGAATGCAATATCAATCGTTATCTTCTGTCATCTTAATTCCTCTTCTTTTATAGTTTTCTCTCTTTATTAATATTTTTCTTTTTTCCTCATATTCATTCGCACTCATTAACTCCTTGCGTCTTAGTGGGTTTATTGCCTTGCTTGGGATGAAATGATTTTTAAAAAAAATTGAAAAGATCAGAATTTACTAATTTTACATTCTGAGTTTTTCTGATGATTTGAGTCCATGGCCAATCGCTACTCTCATCCAAATTCTAGATCATAGTTTCTGCTTTGTTAATGTTTATCCTATTTCTTGGTAAAAATAAAATAATATCCATATGAAAGTCTAGATCTAGCCAGGCTGTTTAAGAACATGACATGAGTTCTTAGCGTAGCGTCTCTATTATGTAACTCCTTTATCTCCAGTAGTTCCGTGTATGACGATAAACTACATCCGGGAGCAAAGCTTCCTTTCGGGCAATTGGAGGTTTTGAACAACCTGGAAACTCTTAATTGCTGTTATTTTCGGATCCAGCTAGTGGCAGCTTCTATTATGGGTCCGTGTTTTGGTCAAATATTATGGGCCTACACAAATAACAAAACAATGCACTATCAAAGTATAAAAGCGCATTTTTATAATAAATATACCAGAAATATAGTTTTATATAAAATATTTCCAGCAACACATATTTATGATAAAATTACCAACAATACGCAGATTCTAACAAATTGAAGAGTCTGAAACCACATCTTTTTTTACTGTTGTTTCCAGATCCAGTTTCACCAGTGAGGTAGCATCTGTTATGGTCCTAGCAATGGGCAAATAGTACAAAAAACTGAACACTGGCAACTAAACACCGCTGATTGAACACCGCCGACTGAGTGCCGGGACAACTCAACACCGCCGACTTAGCGCCGGGACAGATTTCGGCTTTAATAACCCATGGAGGTGTTGATATGCCGCAAACAAAATCTATCATTTTTTTTTAAATAGAGACTAAATCTACAGATGCAACTTTTCAGAAACCCTGGATGGTTTTCCTTGTGTGAATACCAGCGATACATTTTTAAAAAAGGAAAAAAAAACTAACAGTACCTATTTATAGTAGAATTACCCACAATTCATTTTCTACTAAAATGACCAACAACAATATATTTTATCAATAGTTAAAGGCATACAGTTGCGTTCAAAATATATTTACTTGAAGCCATAAAATTGTGTTCAACATGTTTAGATTTCGGCTTTAAATAACCCATGGAGGTGTTGATATGCCGCTAAACAAAATCAACCAAACAATCAACCTGAAAGAACTCTTTCAGGACATATAATATCTTACAAATTCTTAAAAACATCAAACATCCATATAACCGCCTCTAGTAATTAGGTCTACACTCACATGCCTATGCATAAAAGCTGAGTATTATCTACCATGTATTCAAGTGTGACAGCAGAATAACATGTATCATATCTTGCAACTTCTCCTGGGTAAAATCACGATCACTTTTATCACTTTTGAGGAGCGTGGAACCAATTCTTAATTGTTGTTATTCCCAGGTCTACCCTGGCGCGAGGTATTAGCATCTGTTAGGGTACCACCTCTGTGCAAATAGTGAACCTCCAAAGAAAGAAAAAAAAAACACTATGAAATTATAAAAGTACATTTTTGCAGTAAGAATACTAGCAATACATTTTTATATAAAATAAATTACCAACAATATCTATTCATAGTAAAATGATCAACGATACATTTTATCTGTAGTTAAAGGCATACAATTGCATTCAAAATATATTTACTTGAAGCCATAAAATTTTTCAGAAATATTTAGATTTCGGCATTAAATAACCCATGGAGGTGTTAATATGCCGCTAAACAAAACCAGCCAAACAATCAACCTGAGAGAACTCTTTCAAGACATTAATCCATATATCTTACAAGTTCTTAAAAACATCAAGCATCCATATCACCACCACTAGTAATTATGTCTACACTAACATGCCTTTGCATAAAAGCTGAGTATTATCTACCATGTATTCAATTGTGACAGCAGAATAACTTATATCATATCTGTTGTGGATTCCGAGATGAAATCCGGTCTCCAATGAATGACAAACGCGGGAATGAAATATAACAAATAAATGTATTTACACAATAATACAATTGGTAATACGGTTAGTAGATCCAGAAACGTGGTTCGTAGCAATAATAATATTTATATACAGTCTGGGAAATTCAGTCTCGAAGTAGGACTTCCTTAGAGTTTACGTATTTGTAACTGTGACTTCTACAAGCGGTTACCTCACACTATTACTCTACCTCCAACTCAATCACAATCTCCATCTCTCTACTCTGACTGACCCTGGGTATTTAACGGCAGCAGTCCAAGTACATACTGGTCGAGTCCACTTGTATGAAAAAGGGGTGGACCCCATAACAATATCATTATTAATTCTAAGCCCCCAAGTACATTAAATTTCGGCATTAATTTATCCATCAGGAGTTTATGTGACGTTAAACAAAGAAATCAATCAATCCACTCTACAATTTCTTATCTATGGATGCAAACCTGCAAAATTATCACTCGATCAATAGCTAATCTCCATGCAAACTTTTCAGATAAGCTCCGATTTTAGAATTTTATTTATCCACATCTTTACACGAGGGTGATGACATGCCACTTCTCCTGGGTCAAATCACGATCATTTTTATCATAGATCCATTTGTAAGAATCATTTTCCCAAGTACTGCCAATTCGTGAAACAGACGACCATGTAGGTGATTGGCTGAACATTAAAATTTTCTCCACTT